ACGAGTTAATAAATATTTTTCAGCATATTTCTATATTGTGCTCCTTCTCTTTTCTTTTCCATTTGTTGTGGCTTTAAAATTTCTTCATCATCTTCTTTTTCTTAAAATTATACATCTGTTTGTTTGTCCTCCTTTTAAACAATTCGGATCATAGAATATGGTTGTGTAGTGTGTCCTGAAGTAACACTGCAGAAATCTATTAATGTTTTTGCATAACAGTGGAAATAAATGTTTGCTATATACTTGAACTCATCTAAAGACTATCCCAGCAAACGCAGAACGTTATTATTACGTTGCCATAACGTTTTTTGGTTAGATTATCGTTATGGTAACGTTATAATTACGTTCTGTGTTTTCTGGGATACCAATGACGCAGTCCTATGTTCATGATCTGCTGGATAAATCAAAGTTTTAGAAACACTACAGCATAAGAAGGTGTCTAATTCCCAAGTATTGATATTACTTCAGAGGGTTGCGAGAACACATATGATGACGACCTCAAGTGCCAGCAATGGGCCAAGGACGGCGAATGCTTCGTGAACATTAAATGGATGGCAACCAACTGCGCCAAAGCCTGCGGCAAATGTAAAAGCAACAAATGTCTGAATCTGTACGGGAAGGACGCGAAGTGCCAAGCGTGGGCCGACGAGGGCGAGTGTAGGGCCAACCCCACGTGGATGATACCCAACTGCCGTAAAGCGTGCGGCAAATGTGGTGACGGAACTGGTGGAAACGGCGGCGGAGGGACAGAAACAGGGAGCGGTGGCAAGTGTAGAGACATACACACCGACCCTCTGGCTTGCATGAGGTACTCCCCCTTTAAATTTTAATTTTGTCTTCATAAACGTGTGAAATGACATAAACCTGTGGCGTATATACCGTTTCTGAGTCCATTTGAGTCCCCAGTTACGGACCCGCATTTGAGAGCAAACTGAGTAAACTGGGTTTGCCCTGACATAACGGAAATATTATCATTTGCAGCTGCATAGGCCTATACATTCTTTGAGCTTATTCTTTTAACTTTATTTCAAGATGGGCATCTGAAGGCGAATGTGAGGCCAATCCACTGTGGATGATTCCCAACTGTCGAAAGTCCTGTGAAAAATGTGACACCGACGGTGGCACTGACGGAGGAACCGACGGTGGGACTGACACCGGAAATAAAGCCTGTGCCGACAAGCTGGACACAAACAAGTGTCAGGGATGGAAAGACGGAGGTGAGGATCTGTGACTGAAGACTGTGTTAATATAACATAGTGTTGTAGTTGGCATTTCTACCACCACGGACGTGTGTGTGTGTGTGTGTGTGTGTGTGTGTGTGTGTGAATGTGAATGAAAATGAAAAAATACTACTCAAAAGTGTTTTGAAGACTGCTGATAACTTGTACTTTATACAAAGTTACTTTATTCAGTCCGTTACTTAAATTCATCCCCATATCTTAACCTTCTCAAACAGGCTCTTGGAATTGCTAGCTTCATAATTTCTAAATGCCGACCATACATGCCTTCCACCATTACACTGTTCCTTACCGATCCTCAAATATGATATAAAATAATTAATCTTCCTGCAGGTTCCTGCGAGAACGACCCCGCCTTCATGATCCAATACTGCCAGAAGACATGTGACAAGTGCGGCGTGGACAAAGAGGGATGTAAAAACTTGGTCGAGGACAAAGACTGTCAGGTAAATAAAACCAAACATCATGCCTACAGTTCGACTTTGGATGGGTTTGTAATGGCTGTTAAACATATCATTAAAATATGGAGTGTAAGTTCAATATTTAATCCATTTGGCTTGTAATGTCTTTTGTCAAATATTATTCACTATTTTCGCACAGTTGTAGCAAGACGATAGGAGAGAACAGTAATTCTAATGTATTAGTATATGGATACAACGTAATATGAAACCTTATAGTTTCATTAATACATATGTTTATATACCTGTCAGGAATGGGCTGGACGAGGAGAATGTGAAGCCAACTCAGAGTACATGACGGCCAACTGCCGTAAAGCGTGCAAGAAATGCATCACGGGGAGCTGCGTCAACAAGCACGGAAACGAGGCCGAGTGCGGGAGGTGGGCAGCAGAAGGAGAGTGCTCGGTCAATCCCCTCTGGATGATAGAAAACTGTAAGAAATCATGCGGAAAGTGTGACACCTCGACCGGAGATGGCGGCACCGATGGCACGTGCAAGAATATCCATAGCAACGACGCTGAGTGCGAGGCTTGGGAGAAGAGAGGCGAGTGCTCCAAGAACCCATTGTGGATGGTTCCGAACTGCAGGAAGGCTTGCAACAGATGTGGCGATGGTACTGACACCCCGGACACCGGGAACTGCAGGAATATCTACGGTAATGATGTGCAGTGCGACTCTTGGGCCAAGGTGGGAGAATGCTCCGCAAACCCAGTGTGGATGGGAGAGAACTGTGCTAAATCCTGCAAAACATGCGACGGAAACAACAACAATAACAACAACGGAGGCTCTTGCACCAACAGCTACGGCAACGACGCTCAGTGCTCAGACTGGGCCAAGAGGGGAGAGTGCACGGCGAACCCGGTCTGGATGACAATGAACTGCGAAAAGGCATGCCAGAAATGTGGCGGGAGCGAAGACGGCGGCGGCGACGGCGGCAACACCAATGGCGGCGAGTGTAAGAACTTGTACAAGGACGACGCTCAGTGCCAGGACTGGGCTGACAGCGGCGAGTGTGCGGCAAACCCTGACTGGATGCCAATCAACTGTAAGAAAGCGTGTGGGTTGTGCGGCGATGGCGATAACACTGGGGACGGCAATACTGGTAACGGTGGTAATGTGAACTGCGTGAACAGCTACGGGGATGCCCAGTGTGAGCTGTGGGCTAGAGACAATCAGTGTGCAGTGAATCCCTCTTTTATGCTGGAGCAGTGCAAGAAAGCATGTCGATCTTGTGACAGAGGCTCCGGTAGGTTACAAATTATGAAATATGATTTTAATTTCTTTAAGTGTATTTGTGAAACTCTGCGTATTTACCTGTCTTATAGATTGATAAGAAACTTAAGTAAAATGGGTGTTTTAGCCCCCAAATTGCAGTTGTGGTGGTTGTGAATCCTGCACCAATCCCATATAGCATATAAACGTGGTTTTGGTATTTCTGCTTTTGAAAACTGCCCTAAGTTCATATCCTTTTGTAATTATTCTCAGATAATGGTGGCACCACAGCCAACAGCAACTGCGTGAACACCCATCATGACGATGAATCGTGCAGGATATGGGCCGAGCACGGTCACTGTTCCTCCAATCCAGACTGGATGACCAAAAACTGTCAGAAGGCATGCGGCTTGTGCGGGGGTCGGGACGGTTCCGGGGACTGCAGAAACAAGTAAGCATAGGAACAGAGAGTTTTTAAGGGACATGACAATTGAAGTTGTTACCTGTAGTCAAGTTACTATTGGTCTATAGCTTTAGAACAGGTGAAATATTCCATCAAAGTTGGATACTACCGGCTGGGGTTGAGTCAAAATAAACTAAGGTTTTAGTCAAGTCTTAAGTCCCTTTGTGAAGCAAGTCCATGGACCTGAAACGGGAAGGACAAATGATGCTTTAGTGCGTGTTTGAATGTCATTTGGTTTCAGCAATGATATGATTTGCACAATAATATATAGTAAAATACATAGAAAATGACAGATTTATATTTCATTTTTAATATTAGGCACTATGATGACGCACAGTGTGAAGATTGGGCCAAATATGGCCAGTGTCAAACAAACCCAGACTGGATGTTGCCGAACTGTAAGAAAGCCTGTACAAAATGCGACAAAATAGCCACAGGCACCAGCCAAGAAGACAACAATGTTGACGATAGAGAGATCATAACACTCCCGACAACTACCACCACCCAAAACCCACCACCACCTCCACCAGACGACGCATGCGTGAACGCCCACGGTGATACTGAGTGTGCGCAGATGGCACGTGATGGCAAGTGTATCAGCGATTCCAGATGGATGCGACGTCACTGCCGTAGAGCGTGCACTGAGTGCGACAAAGGCAGTAATAGCGGGACGGTTGACAACAACAGACGTAAGTGTGGTAATTTTAATTTCTGGTAAGAGAATGCTCACGCATATCAACATTGTGAAATGTTGAGTGAAAAAAAATTATATAGTTAAGAGGTATTCAGTACATTTGAACCCGATGTTTACCATACGTTATCAACAAACTATCTTTCCTATGTTTACAGCAACCCTTTCAATGAACAGCACGAATTTGGCTTCAGTTTATAGCAATTACATAAACGTACATTACATGGATATTATTTCATTTTATAGCCCAGTGCATAGACGTGGTCGGTAACTGCGCAGAACTGGCACAAAACAATGGCTGCAGCAACAATCTGCAACACATGTACAACAATTGTAAGAAGACGTGCGGACTCTGTGAACCAGGTAAGTCGAGACTGTTGACTGTTCTTGCTTTGGCAAATGTGGTAATTTTCAACAAAGTGCCACTTGCAATTTAACCCCTGATTTTTCTTCTTGGAAGTGTACATGTACGCGCTCTTGTTTGGGTGCGCCTTTCGTGCCAATGAAATTGATAAAAATTTCCCCAAATCTTTGCTTTAATGAAATGAACGTCAGTTATGACTAACTCATAGTTGGTCGGTTTTTAATCTTTATTTTTATTTGTTTTTTGTTTATAGGCCTATACTATTTTGTAAATTTAAATTATATATCTATCATTTAAATATTTGTGTGTTTTTGTGCTTCACAGCTCTTTCAAAGATATTTACTGTCAGTACCTACTCATATTCTTCCTCAGCATGAAATTCCTCCATATCTTACAGGTGCGTGTACCAATAAACATCGTCAGTGTAAACGATGGGCACGCCACGGTGGATGTGAGCGTAACCCAGGCGTCATGTACCGCCAGTGCCCGGTAGAGTGCGGGCTGTGCGAGCATACCAAGACAGACCGAGCCCTTCCCGCACCCGGCGGCAATAGGAGAAACGATAGGGTGCGCCACGGTCGAAGGCGTCACCAGGGACGGCGTAACAGACACGTTTTGGCGTGATGACGTAGACGAAGCAAGTGCAAACCGACTTCACTGATACTCGACTTTTACAACGAATTTAAGCTGAAGACGGATTTTAAGCGGATTTTTTTTTTTTGTAAAAACTTGTTGCTGTTATGTTGTATATTTTGTTACGTGGCACTTGTAAGATGGACAGGTTCTTTACAAGCTGCAGCTATAAAGAGCATTTGTTGCGTAGATTATGAAAAAACCAACATATCTTCCTTCGGATTGAAGCTTTGCTAAGCAAACAATGCATACAGTGTAGAGATACCTCAATGTTATCACAAACAGACGGTTGGTTAAATAACATCTCTCTCATTTAATGTGCTATTTGCAATGTCACTGACCTTTGTCAATTATTTATGAACATAGCTCTTTAAATAAATAATCAGCTATTTTGCAGTGCGGCTGGCGGTCAGTGTTATCAGGTCAACTTGTAAGTTGTAAATTTTTTGCGCAAAGAACAATGATTGGAATGAAAGAAAAGGGTAAATCTTGTGACCAAAGAATGGAATTTACAATCGGCTCATAATGTTTAAATTTGAGCAATTAGCATTCATCGGAAACAAAGTATGATGTTTAAAGCCATGGATATTTCGTATATTTAATGAATATTGGAATATTTGTTATGTGTCAATAATTGTTAAGAACAATCATTTTTTGTACGATTCCAGAAGAAGCGTCTAATGGAAGCGAACCATGCGTGCAAACAGTGTATAATCACCAATACTTATCTTTTATTACATGATATGCTTTTATAAGAAATCTCTTGACAATCTGACGCTCTATGATACTTTTATATGGCAAAGACAGGATTCGATTAGTTCTAGAGGGTTTTCACAAATTGTCTTGCATTCACGCACAGACTGTCTATTTTTGTACATTTCTTGTTTGGAATAAATCTTTTTGACATACATCGTAGTACTGTTATCGCACCTACTCGTCCTCTGTTATGTCTGATAGTGAAATACACGTGATTTTTTTTTTTGAATTATTAAGAATCTATGAATCTTTCTTACGCTTTTTTTAATTTTAAAAAGACAACAGAAAATTTCAATTGCGCCTGGGAAAGTCACTGCTTCTGTATTCTTTGAATTTCTTTTTTTTCATAATTAGGTTGTTAACATATAATTCTGTATGGTAAAAGAACTAGTAGTTGTGGAGATGCCGGGGATTGAACCCGGGGCCTCACACATGCAAAGCGTGCGCTCTACCACTGAGCTACATCCCCTTCCTTGCGTAATTGATCTGAATTTTTTTATTAAGAATCTATGGAATACATTATACTTTTTTAATCTTAAAAAACGCCCTGAACTAAAAGCTGGAAAAATGGCTGCTACTGTGTTTGCTGAATTTCCTTATTCATAATAGAATATTAACGTATGTTTCTTTGTCGTAAAATAACTATCAAAAATTAAAAGTGGAGATGCCGGGGATTGAACCCGGGGCCTCACACATGCAAAGCGTGCGCTCTACCACTGAGCTACATCCCCTCTGTGGATGCTACGTTAAACTGCATAGCCTTTTATTGATGCTCTACACTTCAATTTTTCCGAGAAAAAATCAAAAGGACTTGGAGAAGACTATCAAATAAAGCATTAGTAAAGTGGGTCTTACCGATTAGGATGATTTCCAAGATCAACATTACAAAAATTACTCAGTGTCTCTTTTTCCTCATAATGGGGACTCACTTTTATAGAATTTTTTTCTTTGTGATTTAGCGGTCGCCCCTCAGGCCAATTTTGCTTACCCTCATGTCTTTCAGACATAACAAAGTGTTTAGGATATGATTTCTTCACATTTCCGTGAGACACGCTTTAGAGATGAAGGTGTAGAGTGTCCAAGGTGAACGGCTCATTAAAAACAATAGCTGCATCTTGTGATCCTGTTCGCTCTAATTGCTTGTATTTCCATGTATTAGCTTTCTCTGTGGTAAAATGATTATCATCAGTGGAGATGCCGGGGATTGAACCCGGGGCCTCACACATGCAAAGCGTGCGCTCTACCACTGAGCTACATCCCCCTTTGGTCCGAAATCTTTATGCACAAATAAAATAAAATAAAATAAAATTCCGAGAAAAGAAAAGAAGAAAAGGGATCTGTGTAGTGGACCTTCCAAAGAAAACGGCGCGTTAGAAATATTGCACGCTTCGGATAATTCTTTCGTTATCGGCATCATCATTTACGGCAGAGACTTAACTCCTCTGCAGTCTTTGCATCCTTTTTGTGTAAAACAAGAAAAACAAAAGGAAACTGGAGATGCCGGGGATTGAACCCGGGGCCTCACACATGCGAAGCGTGCGCTCTACCTCTGAGCTACATCCCCTTCATGAGACGTTCTTATTTTATTGAAAAATAAGTCTTCTACAGGATTACAAAGTAAAGCAATATTTTAAAATCGCTGTACAAAAAGCACGTCGCATTTAAATCACAAGTTACATGTAACAACGTCACGTGGTCACTGGACATTAACTAGCCATCTTGGTGACGCGTAGCTGCCTGGATAGTTACAATACTATCTTGCTTTTTTCTTGTAAAAGATAGACATTCATGAAATCCTACATATTTTATGTATATTCGTAATTCTTTATGGAAAGACTAGAAATATGAACTGACACTGCTTTTTTTAAAGGAAATATTTCTCAAAACCGCTAAAATCCCATTTCAATGGTAAATGTGTCTCCGGCAGCGTGTCCCCAACTTTTATGCGTATCTTCTGTCATCACTGACTCATCCTTGTGGCTTGAGACAGCGGGAAGGGTAATTTGACACGAGTCGTCTATGATTTACGGTCTGACTTATTCATTTTATTTGAGAGGTTTGTCAAAGCAAGGTGCTTTTAATGGGTTCGTCCCACCTGAGGAGCCCAACACATCGAAAGAGTGATTTAGATTCTTACCTAAAATTAGGCCTGTGAGTAAACAAGACGGGGGAAACCTGAGAAATTTATTGTAAATCAATGTACGTGTAGCACACATTGAAGGGACCATAGTGAAGGGAAAATAATCACATTGGGTTATATGCGAGTCGAGAGCTAGTCAAGAAGCAGAAAACGTGAGTGTGTTTTTTTCTTTTTTTGTCCTTTTTTGTTTCTCTTACATGTTTTCAAGCTATCGGTATCAGTGGTGGTCCATCTGTCACCAAGGATATTAAAGAGATAACAACTTTTCGTATGATATCCATATTTCACAATAAATCCACTGCAATTGTAAACAACTCATAGATAAATGATAAACTCTATTTTACCACCAAAATGGCAGTTAACGCAATTATTCTGGAATTTTTGCTTGCCATCACATCACGTGACCTCCATAGACGGCTACATCTCTTTAGGGTATATTATAAAAAAACCAAACAGGGACTAATTGTGAATGTTGGAATGGATTCATAAACCATTGATAAGTATGGGAAATTGTTCTTTACCCCAGGAAAATCCATTTTTGGCCAAAAAATTAACAGTATCTCTTAAAATATTACTAGCGATTGTTGTACTGTTTACACGTAAGATAGCATGACTGTGTTTAAGACAATAATCTTACGCTTGTTGTTATATGCATCTGCTCATGCCCAGACTTTCTTTTGTTTTTAGCTTTCATCTGTCCTCTAGTGCCTGTATATGGTCATTTAAGTTAACTGTCTGTCAAAGTGCGTGCGTGTGTGTAAGCTCTGAGCACAGTAGGTGAACTCGGGACAAAGAGTCAGGGGTTCTGGCACCTGAAACTGGGACAGCAGCAGATTTGAGAGGGAGAGGGAGAGTTTAAATCAAGTTAAACCAATTGAATGTTTTGTAGTTTATGATGGAGCAATTAAATATTGACTTGCCACGGCCCAGTTTAGGCTGCATCCGGGTCATATTTGCGGTCATGGATAGTAATAATAAATTATGGGATGTTTAAAGAATTCACTTGAGTTCGGTTGAAGTAAATCGTTTAACATGGCATGGTGAATAACAAAACTTGAGATGCTTTCTTGTTAATCTGGCAACCATGTCTTCGTTGTTTTATTTAAATTTTTATTTCATTAAAATCAATTAAGCAATGCATCCATTTCAGGGGCCAAACAATCTCTTCGTTTATTAATCAGTTTATTTAAGCTATTCATTTAAATTAATTAACATATTTGTTTATCTATTTAATTATTATATTTATTATATGTCATCTCCATAGCCACGGGCTGTTCTTTCTGAATTGTCAAAGATGAAATGCTCAAAAGTGACATTGGAATTAAGAACTGTGCACGTAAAATGATAAAAGTACGAGCATCGGTGCAAATGTAGTCATTTACAATTAATGAGATTCGAGTAAGTGAAAATGCGGATTATTATCGCTGGAAGGGATTTGCTGGGATATCTCGCTCCCTCGCAGTGAAACTATTGCACAGTAAGCCTCCATGCACAGAATACACTACAGTGATTTAATAGTGCTATATTTAATGCTGCTACTTCCAGTGCGTGTCACCTGAAGCGATCCTTTCCCTCCAGGTGAATACAGCGGTACACCTGCAAAACACCTAGTCCCACTACTGTCATAAAGAGCGATATAATGCTACCGGTGAGGACGGTCTGTCTCTTCGTTCTTGTGTTCTGCTGCCTTCTCAAGCCGTCCCTTTTTCAGGCTGACAGTCAGAAAAACACCACGAACAAAGTGAAAGGTTGGTAAATATACTGATTTGTGTAAAACCTGTAATTGTACTTAATTTTTTATTTATTTTATTTTAATATGGATCACCCCAAGGTTCAGAGATTATTACGGAATTTCATAAATATCTTAGCCAACCTCTGTTGTGTCCAGTAAAATCTGAATGGCTTGGGGGGGGGGGGGGTGCTCAAAATGTGTGCAGCTTTTGCTCAACTCAATGACAAAGAATTAAATTACATTAAACAAAAACTTGGAAGTCGGAATGCATGAAATAAATGAATAAGCCTAAGCCCCAGATGCAACAGACCTTTGCTAAATAATGAATTTTCAGGATATATATATATATATTCAAAATATCTATATTTTGTATGATTTTATCTATACACCTTTTATGTACTT